TCAGCTGAGGCTGCAGAGAGATAACAAGGTCAATATGACCATCCCAGAGGGACATATCAATAACTTCCATTCCGAAATCATGGATGAGGTCGTCCACATCAGCTGACCCACATTTTACACATGAACAAACAGCTAGGACTCTGTATTCATAGACATGCTCATTAAAATGATCCTAGGTGTATATGACTTGCTTCTTTCAAACAAATACAATCAGAGTTATATTTAAAACAGTCCTGGCTCTTCCAAGCTGTATAATGGCAGTGAATGGTTTTTACTTTTCAATAGTCCAGCATAAATCCAATAAACTACGCCAATCCATCATTAAAAAAAAGTGCTCCACATGACTCCGGGGGTTAATAAAGGCCTCCTGAAGCAAATCGATGCGTTTTTGTAAAAGAAAAATATCCATATTTAAAACTTTATAAACCGGAAGCTAGATTATAAACTAGATAGCTAGATTTATAAACTGTTTATAAAGTTTTAAATATGGATATTTTTCTTACAAAAGCGGATCAGTTCACTTCAGGAGGCCTTTATTAACCCAACAGAGCTGTGTGGGATACTTTTTATGATGGATGGACGCAGTTTATTGGGACTTCTATTTGACTATTGAATATCACCCATTCACTGCCATTATAAAGCTTGGAAGAGACAGGACATTTTTTAATATAACTCCAATTGTATTTGTCTGAAAGAATTAAGTCATATACACCTAGGATGGCTTGAGGGTGAGTACATCATGGGGTAATTTTCATTTTGGGGTGAACTATCCCTTTAATGTTAATTATTTATGTTCCGGTCTGAACACCAGAAATAATCTTTGTTAAAATGTTTTAGTCATTGACATCCATGATGTGCAAACTCATAACTCCCCAGGCTTTGAAAAAAACAGATGAAGCCTGTTCAACTCTCTTTAGGATGAATAAATGGAAGAATCAGTAACTGCTTAATAAAAAGCATCTCTGGGAAAAGAAAATACATATTTGTAAAGATAAAAAAGAACTAATGACCTTTATGAACTTAAGGAAGAAACGAAGAGTGAAAACAACAGAATATATTGATTTATTGACCATACCAAATTTAATTATTGTTTACACCCAAAAAATATTACAGTAAAAAGTTCATAGGCAACTTACACAAGTCTCTCAATAACACGAACATGCATACATGTGACCCATTTTCTCACACATTCACAAGAAACTCTTCTTAGTCCTTCTTTGTAATCTTTTGGTCTTTCAGGCCTGCAGGTCTGCAATTTTCCTTTTTCTGTAGTTGATAACTAGACTAGAGGCTGTGAGGTGAGAAGACCGGCCCTTTTCCCACAGCTGGAAACTGTTTAGTCCACTCTGCCCTGCTTTAAACAAGCTCCTCTCTAAGCAGTCCAAGCGCTCCACCAGCGCTGATGTGTCTTCATTGTAGGCGTTCTGGGACGAGTCCATGGTCCGACGGAAACGACCAATGAAAGTCTGATAAGAGAGATGGGGACAGTGTATAAAATTTATGGAAGCATGCGTGTATATATAAATATATATATAGGATGCAGGGACAGTAGAAAATTTGTTTTTTATCAGTTATAACAAACATTCAAGTCTGTTTAGCTGCAAAATATAACTCATAAATTTGAATCAATTTCATGACAAACTAAAAGACTAAAAAAAAAAAAACATTTTGTATTTGCAATTTTATAGACATAATAGAAGAATTTAGCCATGTTCTTGCTCAAAGTTCAAAGCTGCTTGTTGTATTGTAATAATCAATATACAGTACCAGCCATAATAACTATGCAGCAGACATTTAAAGCCCTGAATTTTCCCTGAACTTAACATGGAGCTTTAATGGTGTTCACGGATTTAACACTACAGAACTGTACGTCCTATTCAACCTGGCATATCAGTCTGCCCAGCAACTGGTCAGTACTAGTAATGATTTTAAGCATACTGCTCCCTCTACTGGTTGAGATAAGAAATAACAGCTGGATTACAGGACATGTCCCTCTCTTTTTTAAACAGACATGATTTCAGCATGTGAAGTTGTGAACCTTAACACCAAGCTTTCTTCTAACCACCCATTACTAACAGGTTAAGGTAAATGAAACTCGTCATATCTTGTATGGTTATCATTTACATATGATTTAGCTTGAATTTGCATGCTTTTTACAGACATCATTGTGAATTGTGACTACCTATCTAGACATGCTCACCTGGAGGATGGTATTAGCAATCTCTGGGTTTTCTGGGCTGTCAAAATGTAGCATCTGGGAGCCTAAACCATAGTAATACGGCCCCATTTTGTGCAAGTCTACAACAATGGGATCCGCCCCGAACACTGTTCTCCAGCCCTCACGATACACCTTTGGCAGCTCCACAGACAGCACTCGCCTCTTCCTTTCATACAGGCCCTTGGCAAGCCAGAGTGGCATCTCCATCTTTGTGCCCTGAAACATAAAAAACACAAGTATGAATCAATCACGTACACAACATACGTATGAAAGGACAGAACCTCTTCCTCATTTGAAGTTGCCATTAAACCCCCATACAAATATGTCGTGGTAAGGGACTTATATTTAATGAGTATGCAAAGAACTGTCTATTCATGCAACACAGTCCAACATCAAACCAAACTAGCTGACTTTATATATAATATTTATAATTATATATAATTTCTGTCGTGAATATTTCCAGTGCCATTTGTATTTGTAACATTCTGTGGTGAAAATGACAGTAATGGAAGTTAACATTTGTCTAATGAAACAACCCGTCCTTTTGTCTTGTTAAGACTAACTTCATAGTTAGCATTTTATGCATATTAAACAGACATAATATTTTCACAATTTGAGAAATTTAGACGCACAATAAAAAAAAAAATGCACAGAAGAGATATTTATCTTCCATGCTCTTCACTTACACTGCTGTCTCACTTGTAAGGGAGTAAATTACAATAATAAAACCTTGGTGATAACAAAATTGTTGATCGTCTGGAAAATTATGCTACAATTGAGAACATTTATGAAAAATGTATTTATTTGTTAAAAAATTGTAAACAAAAAATATCTTAGCATATTTTAAACGTCAGAATTTTTAGAATGGTTTTCATAGTGTGCTACTATTTCATAGTGTGCTACTAGTGCTCGAAATGTGATTAAATGCCCTTACTGTTTGTTGTTAAAACAAACACTAAAAATATAAATGTATTCGAGTACCTCTGGTATGTCGCGGGTCTCGCTGGATTTCTCGAGGAACCCGAGTCGCGGGAACGCGCTTTCAGTCCTGCACGGCAGTCGCTCGTGAGAGAGCAGAATATCATCCAGAGAAAAGAAATTCTCCTCCATTCCGATACCCGGAGGAACGGCCATGTAGGATTGCAAGTCCATTTTTATTGTTTAAGATACGTGATCTCGAAATGAGCCAACAAAAATTAAGAGACAGTAAAATAAAGACGAACATGTCAAAACAACAGCACTGTGAGAACAGCATTTGGCGCGCAACTTCAAATGCGAAGTAATAGAGCATCGAGCACAGGGAGCAACAGGCGTGAGCAGTCGATAACAGAGTGATCTCAAATCCTCTTTTATTTACAGAACACTTATGCTTTAAATATATGCTAAAAAAAAAAGAAAATACCAGGTCAGTAAAAAAAGAAAGAAAAAAAGTAGTTTGGTTGGCTGCTGTACTTATTTTATTAGAACATGTTACAATCGTTTTAATCAGCAACGTTCTTTTTAGAAAAAAGAAAACAATATGAAAAATAAGGAGCAAAAAAGTATTTAAATTAACATATTTAATTAATACTATTTCTTTCTGCATTATTTACATTTACATTTACATTTATTACAGATCTTCTTTATGCACCAAGAGCTTGTAACACTCTAAAGAGAAAGGAAAAAATGAAATCGCATCATATGACCCCTTTAATACATCTATCATGTGCATTTATCACTTTGGCCATTAGATGTCGCTATATCTTTAAATTACCAACGAAACAGTGTGTAATTGCAGTGATTACTGTCTGTCAGTTAGAACTGGGTATCATTCCATTAATAGTCTCATCTAAACATAACAATAGTTTACCAGTGGCCTGTCATTAAAGAGAATTATAATATTAACATCTTATTAGTATGTTGTAAATTCAAAAGATGCTTACAACACAAATTAAGCGGACACTTAATGAAATTTTAAGTTTTTGTATTGTAACTGCAAGTCAGTTCTGTTCTTAATTAGAGTGTCCCTGTTCTTTAAAGGTCCCAGTTAATATATTATCTCTATCTGGACTGCCACACACTTTTGTGCTCTTCATCTTCATATAAATGACATTATATACTCAAATCCACTTTGATTTACAGCACAAATATGTGAAAAATAAGTTCACCATAAGGCAATACCAGGTCAATGTCTTCTTTTAAAGAGGAAAGACAGAATATCAGTTCTAAAGGTCACAGCCAAATTTACAGAACAGACTTGGTACTCTGTTTTATTTCATCTTTCTGGACATAAATTATGGTTTTATTTATTGTGCACATTATATAGTACTCAAAATGGTCCACAGTGTGACATTGCTCAGTGTCCTGAACACATTATAGACTACTTTAACTAAAATGTTTTTGTATTGTGAGATAGGCAGGCAGTAGGAAATAATATAATAATCATATATTTTATCATATGCTAGTTTTAAATAGCCCCTGCGGAACCAAATGTAATAATTTACATCAGTGTCTGTGGTTGTTATGGTCCTGGTTACAAGATCATGTCTACTTAAAAGATTTAAGTAGGTTTAATGCAATGCACACTATGATATTATTAGTGATGTGGTCCATACATAATTTATAAATGCAGAAATATTAATAAGCATAATATATTGATTTACTGCAAGCGATGAGTATAATACAGCAGAGATAGATGCTTTGTCATACTGAAAGTTTATTTGATTGTATTGCATATTATTTAGTTGTATATTGCAATTATCTATCAGCATGCCTTATATTTGTTATATATAGCCTACCGCTCGGTGAGCTCCGTGGCGGGGATGGGCATAGATCATAGCGCCACGGTGCCCTTCGGGTTTTACACCCCCAGAGGAACAGACTCGGACAGAGCCGGAGGGGTGTCTGGCTCGGATCCCGCTCATAGCGGGAATGGATACCAAGAAACGGGCGGCGGGCACCACACGGACGGTATGCTTTACCTGGGGTCCCGGGCGTCGTTGGCAGACACGTTGCCCCTGCACATCGCGCCCCGATGGCTTAGCGCCCATAGCGGTAAGTGATAACTTAAGCATTAACACAGGGCGCAGTGGCACAAAGCTACATCGATGCCACCACATGTAGTACGGAATATCACTTGAGGGCACGCTGCTGCTCCAGTTTTCGCGCCGGCGGGAGGGGGAATGCGCACGAGACCTGTCTGACCAACGGCTGGACTCGGCTGGTGCGAATCGACGTTAATAAGCCAGGTTGCCAAATCTTACTGGGACAATTAGCTTGTGATTACAAAGGGAGGGGGACTCAATGGTTATCATCCGTTTAGCTCGAACCACAATATTTCTCTGCGACTGTGGTAGGGATTTTGATTAATGACAATGACTCAAATCTTTTGAATCACTTCACTCAAAAGATTTGGTTTGTTTAGCGACTGTTTGGCGATGTCAGTAGGTGGCCACTATCAAGTTTATTTTTTATTTTTTGTGTGCGAGAGTCACTGAATCAATTACTGAACAGATTCGTAAAAAAACATAATTTTTTTACCTCCATTTTTGTCAGCTTCAAAACATAACAATAATAAACAAAGTAAATTGAGTTCCAGTACAGTACATTATTTTAACCACAGTTGGATATAAGTCAACATATTCATAGATAGTCTGCACCTTTTTCTTCTCATTGAGTTCTTGATTAACTCACTTGACAAACTAATGCCGAGTTCACACTGCACGATTTTAGCACGATTTTTCACTCGCCGACAGGTTTTGCGAAATCGCCGACAAATGCCCGAAATCGGAGGCAAATCGGTGCTGGTTCACGCGAGTGACAATCACGCAGTGTGAATTATCAAAGGGCGATCTGAGGGAATCTCCGACACGTCGCCGACGCCCGCGAAATATTTGGCATGCTAGATATCTGCTGTCGGCGATTCACAATCACGCTGTGTGCAATGATTTCTGACTGAAAAACACATAGGCGATGACCTACAGCCAATGAGAGACCAAGATACAGGGCAGAGGGAAGTTCGGGGAGGAGTTAGGCTATAGACCAGAATATCAGTATTTTTATAGATATATGAACAATTATATCATACAGAAACAAGCACAAACATTTGCTTGACCAGCCACAACATCAGCATAACAGTTACTGCAAAATTATTTACCTCCAACTCTCTTTGCAGAACACCCAATCCCTGATTCTTCCTATTGTGAAGTCATGCAGTGTGAAACCCCCTGTCACCGATCCATCTTGCAATGTGAACACAGCAGCAACTGAATGCTACCCCAGATAGTCACGCAGTGTGAAAACAACGGCGATCCGACGAGTCTGAAAATCGTGCAGTGTGAACTCGGCATAAGTGAACAATAGTCAGTTGGTCAGCATAAATAAACATAGATGCCCAGTCTATCTTTCGCGACTCATTGAGTTTGTTCTCAATGAAATGTCTCATTCTTTGTTGCTCTGAATCTTGTTCAGACTTGTTCAGTGATGCATACAGTAGTTGTTTAACCAGTAAAATGCTCTTCACAAACACTACTCGAAAGCTACATATTCATGCTATATTAGTCCTTTAGGACAGTCACTTCCATCTAAAGGAAGAGACAGAAATATGAGTCAGCACATGGAAGTGAACAAGAACGATTCATTCACGACTAAAACACCACTACTGGGCTTGTCAAGGCCTGAGCCGCAGCGCTCTGATGCCTTACAGCCTCAGTCCCTCAGTGCTCATTAAGCAAGCCCCAAATGTGGCCTCCAAAGGAAACCTGCCAGATGTAAACAATTCGACTCCGTTTTTTTCCTTAAATGTTATTTCACTGACACCAAATGAGGTTTCCCTCATTATCAGGGAACGTAGCTCATGTTAACAGGTGAGGCGTTCAGCCTTGAATGTCATGGTGTGTGATTTGGCTTCTAAACAGTGATCACCCACAGGTTGCCAGGTTGCTACTGTGAGTTAATGAATGTCACAGTGAACAGAAGAGAGGTCAGGTGCCTTCCTGAAGGGTGGGGCTCAGGGATCATGAGGGGAAACGGTTCTAGGCAAAGTACTGCCTGTTCCCCTGTGTTTGAAAGTAAGACTTAGTAAATAGGTATATTCTCATGTCAAACGCTTAATGAAATGGGAAAGACTCATCTGAAACGCTGAATTAAACATACCCACTCATATCAGCCCAGTTTATCTATAATTTAAAGCTGCATAAATGTGAATACATTTACTCTGCAATTTCATTGCAGAGTAAATGTAGTTTAAAGAGATAGTAATGTTTAGTAATCTTTTATTCACTTTCATGTAGGTCCAAACCTGTGTGAATTTCTGTCATCTGTGGAAGACAAAAGCAGATGATTGAATTTTTTGATTGCAGATTTTGAAAATTATTGGGGTTTTCTGTCCATATACAGTGTCAAAAACAAAATCATTCTTCAAAATATCTTCTTTTGTGTTCCACAGAAGAAAATAAGTCATACTGTACTGTAACAGTTGGATTTGTTAAAAACAGATTTGTTAAACAAAACATTAATTCTTTTTTTTACTCTATTTTGTAATAAAATGGTCCTTCACAACCAGTATACTTGAAAGCTACATATTTATTCTATATCAGTATTTTAAGACAGTAATCTGTTGGTTTGAGCATCCTAACTAGCAACAGAAACATTAGCTCAACCAATGGTTGTCCAATGGAGTTCACGGTGGGACTATCTGTTTGGCTGGCCAATGGCAGATGGATGGAGTGTTCAGGAAACCTGTTTGACACTCTCTTTTTTTCAATTCGATTCAGCCAGTGCCACAGAAACCTCACCTTTAATTAATGACTGCACATGTATGGTTTACAGTTTTGTTGTTAGACTTTTCAAAAGAAACTATAACTGTATAGATTTGATAAGTAAGCGGTGAGCTTATATTATCTGTAGAGCTCAACCCCCTACAGGCTCCACAAGGCATGAATGAGGCTGGATTCAATCAGTGTTACAAGTAAATTCTGTTTATTCTCACTAGGCAAACAGAATTTTTGTTTAAACGAGTGGCTGGCCTACTTGCAACACATTGCAGAGAACTTTAAGCCTACCTGCTTTATTCGTTTATCTCCTGTGTCAAACTTCATCCATGTTTTTTACAGTAACTGCAAAATGTAAACGGTGGAATGTTCTTATGTCCTCAAGTTTATTTGATATTCTGATCCTATGATATGTAATTTTTTATTGCCTACCGGGAGAATATGATTGCTTAGAAAAGTAGCACTCTCCTCAACAAGCCACACAACTTGTGATGTCATTCATGTTCGTAGCACAAACATGTGGGATGAGTAATGGGCTGGAAATTTAAGTATGAGCATAGTTGTGATGTTTTTCTTAGCAAGCACCACTAATCATCAATAATTGCCTTTATTTAAAGAGTATGCATGCTGGTGATTTAAAGTTGACTCATTGATAGTTGTTTATTGAGAGGAAGTTGTTCCGATTAATTGTAGGCTCATTGTGTTAGTAACTGTGTTTAATTTCCAATTAGAAAGTGGTATTTCTTGCTAATCTTTTTGTCGAAATAATAAATTAAATTCTGTGCTGTCATGTCAGTCTTTACATACTGTAACTAGTTTGCTTATTTCAAAGCTGGTTCATTCATGTTAGAGATGTAGCGTCTGTGTTGAAGGCTGGTCAACTCATTGAGGCTTTCACTCACCTGTTTGCTGCATGCAAGCAGATTAAAAGCAACAGTAATCGCTCTGCTAAAAGTGCTGTTTAATCATTATTGCTCACCCATTAGAAAACTGAGTAATCATTCACTGGCCTTCACTGCTGCATGTTTCCTGCTTTTAAAGCAGCCCTCATATCACAACGGAAGTCTTTAAGATGACATTTTAAGTCAACATCAACATTTCACGTTAATTGCAACCAAAATAGTGTGTTACGGTGCTGGTTTTGGTGGCAAGTCTTTTAGGAATGTTGGGATTGTGGAACATCTGTGCTGATCTGTCTGGCAGCAGTATTCAAGAAATATAGGTCACTCTCTCAAATTGTTTCTGCTGTTTCTTTGCCTCACTGGTCTCTCTCTCTTAGCTCAGAGTGTAATTCATTTATGCAAAGACACAGATGCACATACACTTGCGCTGCATCTTACTGACACAAAAGCAAGACACAGAGTCTCAAAAACAAAATCAGACATGCACGTATGCACAGATACACAGGTTGTGTTCCACTTCACAGGATTTTCGGCCATCTTAAGGGAAAAAAGTTGAGGGTCCAGCTAAAATGAGGGGTTTGTAAATCATTTGTGTACCATATATAAATATATAGAATGTCTTAATGTAAATAAACTTTTTTTGTTTTTTGTTTTCAAATAGGATTTATGTAATTAAAAAAAAAACATTCTGTAGATTTAGAGGTTCTAAATTTAGGAGTTTAGAGTATTCTGAATTATTAATAATTTGAGAATATATGTGTGTGTGTGTGTGTATATATATATATATATATATATATATTGAATATGATCATGTAAATAAATTATACATGGCAATTACATTTTTATGTAATTAAAAAAATCGAATGAAAAAAATGAATAGTCAATTTGATATATATATAATTTTACATAGAGAAACATTGAACATGTAAATAAACTATATTTTTTCAAATTTTTATGAGAATAAATTTGAGGGTCTAAATTTAGGGGTTTTGGGTATTTATGGGTATTATTGTAAGTATTATATATTTTGATATAATATAAAAGAATATATAATATAAAATAATGGGAAATATTATATTGAATATTTATATATTCATTCAGTATTGATTTTCAATATTCATTCATAAAAAATATTGGGGAGTATATATATTCTGTCATTATACTCAACCCCTATTCTGCTGAACTCAAGTTTGAACTTCTACACATATCCCCTTCTCAGTGCATATAAGGAGCAGTGTACACTGCGTAGCGCCCATGTGAATCGGAACGCATACCTTCAACACATACCGCAGAGTTGAAGGAGGTCGGCTGTTGCTGTGACAACCCTGTCACTTGCCACCGCTGTTTTCAGGCTTCAGTCTTACATGCGGCCTCAACAAGC